AATACAGTTTAGTTTTGGATGTTTGAACACCAATTCTCCTGCACTGGTAAATGACCACAATAAAACTATTTACTACTCTTACGTTAGTTTTAACTAACAAGAACAAAGGTTTTTAGCATAGAAGCTTTTTCCATTTTCTATGTATTGCTCCTCTTATTTTTGAATGTTCTGGATGTTCTTGAAAACCATTGTCTTCTTTCTTTCCGCTTGTTAATGACCACAATAAAGTTATTTGAATTTATTTATTTCTCCATACTGTGTTTCCCTGAAAATAAGACCCTGTCTTATATTTTTTTGAACCCCGAAATAAGCACTTGGCCTTATTTTCGAGGAGGCCTTATTATTTTGGGATGTGTGGAGCAAGATGGGGCTCCTTTTGCTGTCTTATTTCCAGCTCTGTGTTTAAATATTTTCAGGGAGGGCTTATTTTCGGGTGGAGCCTTATTTACCGCATGTGCTCAAAAGCCCGATTGGGCTTATTATCAGGGGATATCTTATGTTCGGGGAAACAGGATACATATCATGGCATCATGCACCAAGTTTGACAATAGAAGGGCCCTTCAACTCTGAGTACAAATATTCTCCCTTATTGATTTGACAATAGAGTATTTCCAGATTAGGGATCCTCAACATTGCCATTGCAGAGTGTAACTTGGGCCAGTTGCAGCTCTAGAGCAATTGGGCTATTCATAAGAACATCAATCACATATCTTAAAAAGAAGAGTTGAGACTAAGTCTAATAATCCTATTCTCCATTACCAATAAGTTTACCACCGAAGAGAAGGAGCACAACTTGTTAGCTTTTCTATCCAACAGGATGAATACATCCTGTTGGATGATACTATGGGCCAATTATCCATATTATAGGAGATAACTGATTAGCATTTAGAGACAATCAGAACCAGGATAATGTTTGACAGCTATGATTTGAAAGCCATTTTCTGTTAGGTTTGGTCTTACCTGGCATATTCCTTTTAAAATTTTGAAAAAAAGTTTCACCAATAGATACATATTGCAAATCCTACATTAGCATGATAAAATCAGTAGTGATTTTATTCAACAATCCGAAATGACAAAAACTTTGATGAATGACAATAATGGTAACCAAATGAGTCTCAGATATTTAACTTGACATTTCTTCCTTTTATTTCAAAATATAACAAAACAAAGCAAAAACAACAGCATATTGTATTACCCATCACCACCAGTCATGAATAACTTTTCTAAATAGGGTGATTATCTGGGAAACTTATCATGAACTGTCAGCTACCAAGCAGTCATGCAAGAATTGGCCAACTAATGATCAACATTATATAGCAGCTTGAAGCCAAATATGCTGTTATGCATATTTTAAAATGAAAATGAATCCCCCCATTTACAGTACTCTCCCTGTTTCTGCTACGCAAATAATATTCTAGCTGTCTATTAGAGATCATTCTCCTAACTAGTGCTATTCTATGCAGTGCTAGTCAACAACTGGTCTATTTGAGCAATTTATTTCTCCATTCAATTTCTTTCTTTTTCTATATAGCTGGGAAGATACATGAATATAAACAACTAACTTTCATTTATAATCTAAACCTGTCTTCTCCAACCAAGTTATACTTAGGACCATAATTTTAAGATTTAATAATACTGACGGAGAAATTTGGAAGATGGAATTTCAGCACATTTTAGAGGAAACAGATTGGAGAAAGGATGAAGTACATAATATTTACAAAAATTAGGACACAAATAAAAGAAAGCTATTTCTTTTTTTGTTTCAGATTACAATAAGTAGCAATCATGTGCAAGTAGTTCTCAAATTTCAACGGTTTGTTCAGTCACCATTCCAAGTTAAGGGGGTGCTGAATGAATGGTACTTATACCTGATCCCAGAAATTATGGCCACTGCAGCACCTCCACAGTGATATGCTTGGCAGCCCACCTGCACTTACAACGAGAAGAGGTGTCAACTCCCTCCCACTTGCCTATCTCCCCTCCATCTCTCTCTTTTGGCCACCCTGCATAGTGACACTCATCAGCAACGGTAGTGGCACTGAGGCTGAAATAGAGACCAGGGAAGTTCAGCAGCCTCAGCCAGATGCTAACACTCCCAGACCTCTACTTCAGCCCCAGCATTGCTACCATAGAGTTCAGTCTCAAGCCCCACACCATAGCTCAAAGCCTCTGCTGAACTCTGCTTGCCCTGCCATCCTTGCTGCCCTATGCTTCACTCACCCTTCTGCACTTGCTGCCCTGAAAAGCAGATACTGGCTATGTCAGGACACCTTCCTGAGACTGCTCATGCTGTTCTCCAAACTGCACAAGCCATTCTCATGATACTGCAGTGTAATTTCTCAAACTTTCTGAAGCATTGCGAGAGTGGCCCTATGCAAGGCAGTTTGGCATGCCTTGTCAACAGGAGGAGGGAGAAGGCAAAGGTCAGATGACAGCAGTAGAAGCGGCAGGGCCAGCTTCTAATTCAAGGATTATAAGTATTTATAGCAAGCCTATCTCTAAATGCAGGTAAATTGAAAACAGGCATTATAGGCTTATTTTGCTAGAGAGTTATCACACGTGATTTAAAATTTTGAATGTGTGTGTGTGTGTGTGTGTGTGTAGGATATTCCTTACTGATGCTAGACAAAAATGGAAGGATGGATTAAATTTCAGCTTTCTCATTCTGAAGCAGATGAATGGTAAGGAGAAAATCATATAGAACAAACTCTAGTTGCAGTCTGTAAAACCTTTTAATTATTATTCTCCCCTCCAGCAGATGAAAAAGATAGCAGAAGTAGAATTAAATAAAGGCGAAATATCTTGTAAACAGGCGTGAATCTTGTATAAAATTGTATAGAACATTTACACTCCCCCCACTCCCAATTTACAAGTTGATATAGGGGAAATCCAGAACAAATCTAAAACTGGAAAATGAGAGAAACAGCACTGGAGAATTTTGTTCTATTCAGCACAAATTAAAATCATAGGAATAAAATAAAAACTATATGGCTTATCCTTAAAAGGAAGTACTGGTATTTAGTAAAATATATTTTGGTGACTGTAATTTATTTAGTAGAATACTGCTATAAAACAATACTAAAATCTGGAAGGAATCTTCCAGTATTAATAGTGAAAAAGAGATCATCCAGAGAGGGTGATGGAGACAGGTCTTGAGACTGTTATCTGGGATGAGTTTGATCCTGTGACCCCAGATGACGTGGACAGGATTCTGGGTAGATTGAACGCGACCACATGTTTGTTGGACCCGTGTCCCTCCTGGTTAGTGCTGGCTTCCCGGGAGGTGACGCGAGGCTGGCTCCAGGGGATTATAAATGCTTCGTTGGGTGAGGGTGTCTTCCCCGCCGCCCTGAAAGAGGCGGTGGTAAGGCCTCTCCTCAAGAAGCCTTCCCTGGACCCGGCAGTATTGGCTAACTATCGTCCAGTCTCCAACCTTTGCTTCGTTGCGAAGGTTGTTGAGAGTGTGGTTGCGCGACAGCTACCCCAGTACCTGGATGAAGCGTCGTATCTAGATCCGTTCCAGTCGGGCTTCAGACCTGGGTACAGCACGGAAACGGCATTGGTCGCGTTGGTTGATGATCTCTGGAGGGCTCGGGACAGGGGTTGTTCCTCTGTCCTGGTCCTGTTAGATCTCTCAGCGGCTTTTGATACCATCGACCATGGTATCATGCTGCACCGGCTGGAAGGGTTGGGGGTGGGAGGCACCGTTTTACGGTGGTTCTCCTCCTTTCTCTCTGACCGGTCGCAGTCTGTGTTGACAGGGGGGCAGAGATCGACCCCGAGGCCCCTTATATGTGGGGTGCCGCAGGGATCGGTTCTCTCGCCCCTCCTGTTCAACATTTATGTAAAGCCGCTGGGCGAGATCATCCGTGGTTTCGGGGTGAAGTACCATCTGTACGCTGACGACACTCAGCTGTACATCTCCACCCCGGATCACCCCAACGATGCCCTTGAAGTGATGTCCCAGTGCCTGGAGGCCGTACGGATCTGGATGGGGAGAAACGGGCTCAGGCTCAACCCATCCAAGACCGAGTGGCTGTGGTTTCTGACGTCCCGATATAGTCAGCTGGTGCCATCGCTGGCTATTGGGGGCGAATCATTGACCCCCACGGAAAGGGCTCGTAACTTGGGCGTCCTCCTGGATTCACGGCTGTCTTTAGAAGAGCACTTGACGGCCGTGACCGGGAGGATTTTTCATCAGGTTCGCCTGATTCGCCAGTTGCGTCCCTTTCTGGATCGGGACTCGTTACACACAGTCACTCATGCCCTCGTCACCTCTCGTCTGGACTATTGTAATGCTCTCTACATGGGGCTCCCCTTGAGGTGCACCCGGAGGCTCCAACTGGCGCAGAGTGCGGCCGCGCGGGTGGTTATGGGAGCAACATGGAGCTCCCACGTAACACCTCTCCTGCGCGAGCTGCACTGGCTCCCGGTGGTCTTCCGGGTGCGCTTCAAGGTGCTGGTTACCACCTTTAAAGCACTCCATGGCTTAGGACCTGGTTATCTACGGGACCGCCTACTACCACCAACAGCCTCCCACCGACCAGTACGCTCCCACAGAGAAGGGCTCCTCCAGGTGCTGTCGGCCAAACAATGTCGGCTGTCGGCCCCTAGGGGGAGAGCCTTCTCTGTGGGGGCACCGACGATCTGGAATGAGCTCCCCCCAGAGATACGGAGGATCCCGGATCTGCGCACCTTCTGCCGCGAGTTGAAGACGCTTTTATTTCATCAAGCGGGCCTCGCCTAAATCTTCTCCCTTTTAAATGTAAATTTTAAATTTTTAATGTATTTTAAAATTAGGGGTATTTTAAATTATGGGTATTAATTCAGCCAAATTTATTTAATTCATTTTTATTCGATTTTAAATTTTGTATATTTATGTGTTTTATTTCATGGCTGTACACCGCCCTGAGTCCTTCGGGAGTAGGGCGGTATAGAAATTCGATAAATAAATAAATAAATAAATAAATAAAAAGGAACAAGAGAATAAATATACCTACTTTTCTATAGGTAGCAGACAGCAGTCTTCTACTCTCCCTGGAACTTGATCGGGATACCTGTTGAGATGAAATCATCTCCTTCTCACATTTTTCTACCTCTATCTTCAATTTCTCTCTTCGTTGCTGATCTGAAACTTAAGAGAAAAATATTAGCCAAGGTTAAAATACTAGGATTAAAGGGATTTTTTTATTAAAAAAAAAGGATTGCTATGTTTGTGTAGACAAAGGTAGAAATGGTTTTCAACTAATGTCATTTTTTTTAGTAACAATAGATATGAGATGATGAGAAACTTGACAATGTTCTGTAATTTGATATACTATCTTATTCTTAAATGCATATATAAAAAGGTCTATATTATGATAAATCAACATAATTTTATTCTATTTAATGGCCCAAATACAAAGTAAGACCATCAATTTAAATTTGAATTAAAATTAGTAAATTAGAGATTAGTCACAATGAGAATGCCTGACTGCTTTTCCATAACAGTTTTTCTACTGCTTTTCTATAACGATACAAATAAGATAAGATGATAAGATAAGGTAAGAGAAGTCAACCAACTTTGTATGACTTGGCATCAGAATGTGGTACATATTTCGGAGAAGGCAGAATTTGTTCTGCTTCATTTTCTGTTTTTGTTAATTTACAGTTATTTGCAGCACATTTGTCCAACATTTCTCCAACCTATCCAGATTGTTTTGAATTTTCTTTCTATTTCCTAGGCAATATCCACTCAGTGTTGTAACATCTACGAATTTAATAAACATGATCTGCTCCAGAATTTTCCCAGTTAGCAATGTTAGACTGATCAATCTGTTATTTCCTGGATCTTCCAGTATCACATCTTAAAATAATTTTTATTGCCCTTTATTAACCACCGGGGGGGGGGGGACTACAAAGTAAAATAAATAAGAAAAGAAAAATACATATTAAAATAGATATACATAAAATAAAAAGCTAAGTTCTTAAACAGCAAATTAAATGCTGAGAAAATAATATTGATCTTTCCATAACATCAAGCCTCATTGTTCTTTTCTTGAAGAAAAGTACATTTTCTTTCCTCCAGTCAGCTGGCATTTTAATCAGGATCTCAATAATACAAAGGTTCAGCCAGACTATAATGAATTTCTTTAGTACACTAGGATGCAATTCATCTGCTTGTGAAGATTTAATTTATAGAGGTATTTCCTCAACATGTTTCCTCAATCTCAATCTTTAATTTTGCCTTTCCATCCTAGCTTTCCTATCTTTACAATATAGGTAGTCCTTGAATTACGAATGTAATGGAGCCTGTCCATTCCATTCATAATTCGAGGATTTGTGAGAGTAAATCTCAGACTTGAATGTGATCATTCCCGCCTTTTGCCCATTCATTCGCTAATCAAATGTGTGGCTTGTTAAGTGCACATGAGGTATTTCAGGGTAGGGAAGGCCATGGTGGGGGGTCCTAGTGATGGAACAGGCCACCTGCTTAAGACCACCCAAGGCCTCCCCAACTCACTGAAATACCTCATGTTCCCCACAATTGCTTCCCCCCCTCCACCCAACCTGCTGTGCTTGGTCACTTACCATGCAAAGATCTAATAAACTCTCTTCTCCAGCCTCTCAGCTGCATGTGCCCCTCTGACGCTCCATTTAGTCCTGCACACACCTCGCCTGGCACATTGCAGGCCAAAATGGAGGTCCAGAGGGGTGGGCCTGTCCCTCTGACACTCTGTTTAGGCCTCTGCAGTGTCAGGTGAAGCCTGTGCAGGCCTAAATGGAGCTCCATTTTGTCCGGAAAAATGCCAGCCAAGGCCTGCCATAGCATAGCATAGCATAGCATAGCATAGCATAGCATAGCATAGCATAGCATAGCATAGCATAGCATAGCATACTCTTACTAGACAGAGTTTGAACCATGCTGAATTGAAGTATCACAGTTCAGGATATTGAACTGTGATATTTAAGGCATCTGTCATGGCTTATTGTGTTTATCCACTGATAAACAGCATTCACCAGAAATAATAGACTGCTGCACATTTCATAAAAATTTGAGGATGAGAAGAAGTGAGAGGAAATAATGAATAATGGTATGAAATATAATTTTCATGATATGCTTTTTAAAATTATTAACAAAACAAAGAAAATACTTACATTTTATGCTGTTTAATCTGCTTTTTGGTAATGAACAGTCTATAGCAGCTGAAAATAAATAACACAAACTGAATAAAAAAGTAATTTGTCACAATAGACTGCTTGATATGAGCTATCAATATGTATCTACGAAATGAAACTTCTTATAATTGAAGCTCTTAACAGCTTGTCCATGCTTTTAATATATTCTTATTTTATTAACTACCTACTTATATAGCTATCTACTTTCCTACTGTACTTGTATGCTACTCATTCCTGAGGCTACAGAACGCTAATAAATTGTTTTTTTTTTTAAAAAAAACCTCCAAACCCATATAAATAATCCACACACAATACATTTGCATATTATAAAACTCCTTTTCCTGTGCCAACTCGAAGACAAAAGTTGTTACAAGTTTCCTGAAACTCAGAAAGAATGAAATAAACAAAAGCTCCACTGGGAAAGAGAACAGGGACAGCATTGGTAAAACCCACTTCCAAGGCCCTGTCAGATGTCAATCCTACAAGGAGAGGACCTATAAATAGATAATCAATATAAAATATGATCAGACAATAAATGAATTCCAGAGAAGGAAGTATTTCAAATAATGAGCCATGTAGGACCTTAGAGATGAATTTTTGGGCCTACTGTTTCTAAGACTATGCCATCTTTAGTGCTTGATGGAATCACACTGCCCAAACAGACCCAAAGTGTAATTTGTGGTGCTCCTCAATTCATGACTCTTGCTTGAGGAGAAGTAATAGTCATGGTTAAGAGGGTCTTTGCACAACTCTAGACTGTGCATCAGTTGTGCCCAATCCTGGATGGGGAGGCTTGGCTCACATTCATTCATGCCCTAGTCACCTCCATTCTGTACTACTGTAATCCACTTTGCACGCGGCTGCCCTTCAAGAATTATTTAGAAGTTTCAGCTAGTGCATAATGCAGCCGTGCAGGCAGTTATATGTGCTCCTAAGACCTGTCATATTAAACCACTGCTCTGCGATCTGCATTGATTGCCAGTTTGTTTTCGGGGCCAATGCAAAGTGCTGGTTTCAACCTTTAAAGGCCTTCATGACATGGGACTGGGTTATCTGGGGGACTGCCTGTGTCTAATTATATCAGCCCAGCTCATTAGATCTGGCAGAGAAGGCATGTTGCAGATGCCATCTGCCAGGGATTTACATTTGGCAGATCCTAGTGGGTCTTCTCTGCTATGGCACCTGTCTTATGGCACCTTCTTCCCACCCAGACATAATGCTTTTAATGCATTAAAAAACTTTCTTTTAATGTTCCAGAAATTCTTCAAGACCTGGTTATGCCATCAAGTCTGGGAACCAGAGTAAATTCCTGTGAGATGGGTGAGATGAATGGCTATATAAAGTCTGCGACTCAATCAATCAATAGTATCCTGCAGATATAATAGTGATAGAAGAAAATATTTGTAACTCAGGGTTGAACTATGGGGTCCTTGTTAAGCAATGATTATGGTATGTTACCTAGTGAGTTAATGAAACATCTGTAAGAAAACAACCAAGCTCAGAGAGCACCCAAGGACCCCAGAGACATAATGCTACACTATGGTCAGGAAGGAAAATAGGAAGGAAAACATCCAGAAATGTTAATATGCTGAAATTTGAAAAATATTTTTTTCAATTTTCTGACATATAAAGGACAAAATCTATTTTATTCTGTATTTTTATAGAGGCTAACAATGCAAGACTGCCATGGTATCTTGAATATAGGCTATTATCTGCCTTCAGGTAAAACTTCTGATTTTCATCTAACACTCTGTATATTCCATAATAACATATAATTTTATGACTTTTCTCACCTTAGGAGAGCTTAAACTGGAGAAAACATGTATACTGGAGAAAGTAAAAATAGCATACTGAGCTGTCATCTGGATCAGTAACATGTTAGTTAGACCTATCAACTCTGGGTTTCATCTGAACTAATCTTAGGAACTCAGTCTTAGAAAATATTTAATAGTTTTTAAAATATAATTATGTCCAAAGACCATCTCTGCCAAGCTTTCATTAGTTACTGTAAGGCCCCTAGATCTTTTAGTATTGGTAATAAGGCTTCCTGATCACCTGGCCCAATTTCAAATTAAAACAGTCAGGCCTCTAATGTTAGAGAGGAAGAGATTAACTGCCATCTGGTTACCGGTACTTTCCTGCCAAGACATCAGCATCCATGCAAGCAAAGAGACAGAGAATATAAATCCTATCTTATTTACTGAACACATTCCTTTCCTTAACCACCTCAAGCAGCAGCCATCAGAAGAAGAGATGAGGTACAGGCCTTCTCCACAAGTCTAGTTTGGCCTAACTCCTATCTGTCTTTTCCCAGAACCATCACTTGCAGTTCTATTATAGCATCATTAGGTATCAGGAGTTGGAAATGTCCTGATTTCATGCAGACTTCAGCATAATTTAGCTCTCTGAATGCTTTAGTTCTGCTTGTGAACTGTAACGATGGTGTAAGAGGAAATAATGAACTGAAGTGGAAGCTTAGACAAAAACAGCTATGCCACTGGGGTTTCTAACTCTGCCGTTATCATCTGTAGCCCCCAACTGACTTCCTGTGGATCAATAGTGCCCTGAATGTATTTTCCTCTTAACTCCACTGATCTTTTGCTTACTAATATATTCAACTAAATAAACTTGGGTGCTGACAGAAATGGCTTATTTAAAAGTAGTAAGTAAATGCTACAATTTCCAGGCAAATTTCAGCCTGGAATTATCAAGTATCAATATAATTTAATGAGTGCATAGGGCCATAGGCAAAGTACTTGGTTTATAATGATATTCCACGTCTCTGTAGAACAAAGAAAGCTATTCTGATCAAATTACATATTTGCCTTTTCTTCTTCAATATAGCTCATTTTCCTATCTGACATATCTAATTCAATGTGGAGTATTACCTTGTAAACATAAATTATCTCAAAATATCTTGGATACTTCATCCATTAGAAAAATAAATGTCCTGTTGCACAGAAAAAAATGGGATCCCATTTACATATTTGTAATTTAAACTGCTTTTCCAGCCATAAAACAACCTCATTAGCAAATACTTGTCTTAAAAAGCTACTTTAAGAAGAATAGTGGGTCAAGGGATGATAATAAAATAGAAAATACAGTATTTTGTTTTGAACCCAAAACAATCCATTACATTGCAAAACATCTATCGAACCATGTTGGGTCACTCATGATTCAATCAAAATATAATCCAGAATGTTTGGGTTGTTCTAATTCAAATAAAACAGATGAGATGATAATGATATTTTAATATAGCAGTTCACTCCAGAAGACTCTGAGTGGCTTGCAAAATATACTATATTAAAACAAGTAGGGTAAGGATGCTCTGTGTAATCTCTCACTCTCTCCTCAGCAGTTGTCAACTTGGCATAACCGCCTGGTCCCTTCTCTTCTCTCAATAAGCCATTGCTGATGCCAAAGAGGGACATAACCTACCAAACTACCCCTACTCCAATAGTCCCTGTGAGAAAGTTTACTCTCATTCGGACAAAAGTAAAAAAGTAAAAAATATGATATCAGATCTGAGTACTATCCAAACAAAGAAAAAATGAAAACTCTTTATGTTTTGCCTAAAAGAGAAATACTTCTAATCCTTTACATAGAATAGGCAAAGGAAACAGATGCAAGACACTGGTTTGCTATAAAGACTACTTAAATCTGATACATAGCTTATTAGGTTTTCTACAATAAAATGTACTTGTTACAGGTTCTTTGACTCTTCTGTGCCATTTTGTTCTTAGCATAGCCCCAAACACCTTAAACATACATATTTCAGTGTGGCCATGGACCATAGAAAATAATTTTATGTATGAAACATTTTATGTATTCTTCGGTCCAGTATCTTGATGCACCCTCTTGTGACAGCCACCAATTTATTCAGTTAACTCTTACAAGGTTAGAACACATATCTACTGACCAGGGGGAAAAGCCTCACTGAACTCAAGGAAATTTAGTTCTGAATAGACCTCTAAGACAAAATATTACTTTTGTCTTATTCTGTAATCTCTTTATTAAAAGAGATGAAAAGACCTCTCTGCGAAATATTAATAAGGATACACCACCACTTCGGAGAATAAATATCTGATCAATGACCCAGGAAGTGGCATATTATGAAATAATCATTTTATATAATTATTATCTGAAACCTTCAAACTTTCATTTGTATTGGGTGGTATACTCCCTATCTTTAGCTTTTATGTCTGTTGAATTTTTAGTGAGAAAATAGCATGTACTCAAGATTCATCAATATTTCTGATTAAATTAGAAATGCAATCATTAGAGTGCTGATAAATAAAGAAATTGGCATTTTTCCAACTTCTAAATGATATCCATTAATCCCAATGTTTTTTTTTAAAATATAGATAAAAGAAATACTGCCTCCACAAAAAGGTGTGGAAATTATAATCATAACCACAACAATAAATTAAACTTGTATGCTACCAACCTCTCAACAATTCAGGAGAAAACACAGAGCTATAAAGTTTTGGACAACAAATCTCACTTTAGTTTTAAAAAAAACATATTGCAAGGGCACACATGATCTGCATCTCTAACTAAGTTTTCTTAAAGAGTATGTCTGTTGCAAATTCTTATTTTCTGATAACAGAATACTTATAATACTTTATCCTTTTGTTGCCTTTATAAAGTATGAAGTAATATACACTGTTGTGTGGCTCAAGCCCATCTGTTATCTTTAGGACCAGGTGGACATTTGAATCTGATCTCTAGGATCCTAATCAGACATTCTTACTACCATACCGTATGAGTATTATAAAAAATGCTTGAAAATAATTCAAGTATGAGTGTTTTTACCTTTGGCTGAAAGTATTTTATTGTAATGAACAGCCATGTGATCCCTGATGAGGTACTGATTACTGAGTCTGCGGGAGGAGGAGTCAATGCAGAAAGCTACCAAAATAAAACATATTTGAGCATTAGGATAAAATGCCAATACTTTTGATCCACAATTGCAGATACAAGGAAAAAATTGAAAATGTAAATAAAGGTGGCATTAAAATGAAATAAATATAACTATAACCTTGTTGCTGGTATCCTTACGATTTATCTTGACTGTGATTTGATTGCTTATTTATGCCCTATGACTATCATTAAGTGTTGTACCTTATGATTCTTGATGAATGTATCTTTTCTTTAACGTATACTGAGAGCATATGCACCAAGACAAATTCCTTGTGTGTCCAATCACACTTGGCCAATAAAGAATTCTATTTTATTCTATTCTAAATAGCACAGTATACCTGGATATTGTTGCATACATTTTTTTCTTGGAATGAATAAACTATGAAAAAAAGGAAAATGATGGTGATCTTGTCCAAAGCCCATTCATGAGAAAGCAGTGATGATCTAGCTACAGAACCTACATAATTATTTCAATAATTAAAAATATAGTTAAAGCTTTCAGCCACAAATTGAAATTGTCCAAAGCAATGGTAGTTAAAACATTTAAAGTATTTAAAACATAGAACTGAGATTAAGGTGTACTAAAGGAAACTAAACATACTTAAACTAAACCAATTTATTCTACATACCATCATTTGGTCTAAAATGTTATTAAGTAAAAAGTTAGGTGGAATCATAAAACAAGGATTGTTTACATTGAACCAGAGGAAAAACCTCACCCAGGTCCAGGAGGTGGCAGTTTGTATATGAGGTCCTTCTTTCTCTCACATATAAGAGAATAAGTAGATTAATGAAATCCTTGGCAGAGAATCTTTCTCAAGATTTATATAGCATTCTCTGAGGTGTTTGTTCTATATAAAAGGTGCTTATTTTATAATAGGAATATTTACTTTGTTAAGTCTTATTTAAAATGGCCTGAGAAATGGTTGGAATACTTGATGCCATAGTATTGCTTACAGGTGTAGGTTTTCAAACTGAAAGATCCTGGAAAACCCTCTGCGAAAGCACTACATTTTAAAAAGTTTAAGTTATTACTCCTATTTTTTTTCAACTTAACATAAAAAAAAATTAGATAGTTTTATGCTCTAAACGTAATGATCTTTCATTAGGTACATCTATTTCTTGCTATGAATTAATTTAGATTAAACAGGGTGCCGTTTCTTCCAGATTCTTTAATTCTTTAGATATGAGTGAGCTTCAGCTGTATTTGCTGGGATCATAGATTCCAAGAGGTCAGAGGACTGCTATCAGCAGGCTTATTCAATGGTCTTGCTCTCTTCGTTTCTTAATACCATCAGAGTTCATAGCCTGTGCTAAGATAGCAATTCCAACAACTAAATAAATCATATATTAAATAAATAAGCAGACTAAAATCAACCCTCACACAGGACTGAGAATTCTTCTGTTACTGAGCCATGAACAAGATGAGCGCTAATCACAGAGCCATTTCAGCAATGCTTCTGCCAGGAAAAGTTTATGTCTTAATAGTCAGTGGAGCAGCATGTATCCATGCATATGAAATTAGCATGAGACCCTCAAAACAGCTACTCCAAGAATAGACCCATTATGAAGTCAATGTGATCACTCTGAGGTAAAGAGGCTTAAGGACTTCAGCTTGAAGGTTCTGACAATTTCATGCCAATGAAGACAGAAAGCACTTGACTGGGGCAAGTGGTGAGAGAATTTACTTAATTTTTCATACAATAAATATGGCAATTTTAATTCACCATGTTTTGAAAACAGAAGCTAAATAAAGAACTATGATAATGCTTAATGCACATTTTTTGAATTATTACATTACATGGTTTCAAAAATATTTAGTTATGCTTCTTTAATAGTTTTCTTGAGACTGAAAGTTGTATTATTTATTGCTAAAAACAAGATCAAGATGGCTAAATATCTTTCTTAAATAACACTATTAGGTTTAGATTTAATTTCTTGGTTAAAGCATAACTGATTATATTATTACGTTCTGTCAAACGAATGCTTAAATAAAAGACTTGTAGCAGTCTACATCTAGTGTGGTTTCCAAATAAATTCACATCACATAAATTACTTACCATTACTTTTTGTACTTAAATGTCCTTTGAATGGGCTTGCTAGTCCATACCTAGGAATGGTCAGATAGTCAATTACTGAAATAAAAAAAGAGAAAAAACCAATGTAGATTGTTGTGATTGCCTACTGTTAAAAATCTGGAGTTGTAGGAAAATTTTTTTTAAAAAAACCCTTCTTCAATATTTTGCTATCAAGAAAGTAGATTCATTAATGGAGAATGCTGTGCTTTCATAGGCTTAAGTAGCAGATGGTACTTAAGTTTAGATTGCGATGAAAGCAAATGGCATAATTTTTTCTTTTTTTTATAGACTGCTTACTGTATTTACTATAACTTTAACAACTTTATTATGGTGGAAAACAACATAGAAGCAACCAATGCAGTCTTTGCAAAAGTTTTTTTCAGCAACAAATCTTTAAAGTTTAACAGTAAAATTCACAGAAAATGTAATAGCTCAGCAATTAAAGAAACATTATTTTGAGAGTGGTTCTGGCCTAAAATCAGAATAATGTTTGTTAGTTTGTCAATAGTTAAACCAGCCCTGTGTGATAACTAGAATATACTGACAAAAGAGCAGAACAAAAGCTATATAAAAATGAATCTATTCAGCTCTTGAAAATTTTATTAGGAAGAAAGACAAAATGGGACTTACAATAAAAGAATACCATTGTATCTTTTCTTACTTCTCATATACTCCTGGCTGAACTGCTTGGGAAGAGCTCCCTTTGTTTAAATGCTATAAAAGAACTTCTTGGGATGTTTGCACAATTGAAGTTCCTGTTTCTCAGTAACTCTAATTGAGTTTTACTTTAGATGTCACTCATTAGCTTACTTTGCTAATAGAGTGATGCAAAAAGCTATGAAGACTGTAAGTAGTCCTTACCAAATACCTCATTTTATGACTATTCAAAGTTATGATAGTGTAAAAACAAACCCAAAGCTTTGCGACCAAAGTTCCTGTTTATGATCATTGTAACACCTTGCAGCCATTTGATTGCAACTGGCACATATTTATTACTGTTGCAAAGTCTTGTGGTCATGCCATTTGCGGGATTCACAACTGGCTTCCCAGAAGCAGAATTAATAAAGATAGAAGTAAAATCACAAATCAAGGTCATGTGATAACTCACAACAACAGAATGGAGTGTGATGGTATAACTCCATCTCAGTCACATGATTTTCTGTGCTTGGCAACAGGTCCCAATTGTGGTTGCTAAGCAAGAACTACCTATTTTTTTATTCTCTGGGCAGAAAGTTCTACTGCTATAGATTTGCACCTGGATAATATCACTAGTAAAAACTTTTCTCAGAAAGAATGGCTTTTTCATTAATATTTTTAAAGTAGTATTTCCTCAATCTGTGTTACACTTGCTTAGTAGGAAAGACAGACCATTATGGAGATCTTCCACCTTTTATTTTATTTATTTATTTAAAACGTTTATATGATCGCCCATCTTTCAGACAATTCTGGGCAGCTTCCAATAAAATGGAATGTAAGTACATCCTATTTTGCATGAGAAAGCTAAAATAGTACAGAAAGATTCTTTCATTCTACAAAGACTTTTAATATGTCTTTAGGAAATTAAAACATCCATTAGGCAGTAGTCATTTATCTTTCAGGATATGTTTTACAGATACTCTGGTACCAAGAAATTATTTCTACCTAAAGATGAACAAGACTACAAATGCAGGGATAGGATAGTATGTTCTTGATTCAACAGACTTCAGACACAATGGACAATTTTTTAATATGAATTTCATCTCCTGTTTCATGGATTAATGTCAGGAGCTGACCATTAAAATGTATCTACTAAATTAAAATGTTACTGCAAAAACCTTTTTACATCAACTGCATAATTATACAAATGACACAAAGTGATGTAAATGAAATACATTTAGACGTAACACCACAACTCAGATTTCATGGACATCACTCTTGAATGATCATTAAATCAAGGTTTTAATGCAATAGTATAAAATTCAGAAATATAAAAATTATGGTCCACCATCATCCTTTTATTATCTCACTCATGTCTTATTTTCTTCTGGACTGGAGTAATGTGTGTTACATAAAGCTGCCTCCAAAAATGATCAGGAAGTTGCAATTGGTCCAGAATGTAGTAGCACAGGTAGATATGGATGCATCTTGTTATGCCCATGTTGCACCACAAGCTGCACTGGCTTTCAATAAAACTTCTCTATGTGATTCAATTTAATCTCCTTTAAAGTCCTACATGGCATAGGAACAGGCTACTTGAGGGGCCATCTTCTCTCAAGAATATCTGCCCAGTCTACCTGTTCCGGATTCCTTCTTCTAAATCTTGTCATCTTATGATGCCTAGAAAGTGTGCTTTTTCTGTGGTTACCTGATTTCTGCAACAATCTCTTCCTTACCAAAATATAACAAGCCCCAAGTCATCTTGCCCTTAAGAATGTCCTTGAACCGGGTCCTGGGAATTAAGAGCCAATTGAGTGCAAGATCCCTTTTGGTAGTTCTGTATATCTTTATCTATCTATCTATCTATCTATCTATCTATCTATCTATCTATCTATCTATCTATCAATCTACCAATCTACCTACCTACCTACCTACCTACCTATAATGTGTATACACACACACATTACACAACTCACTTAACTACCTTGCGGCTTAGCAATTGAAATTTTTGAGCTCAATTGTGGTTGTAAATTGACTGACATTTTTGATAGTTGTAGTGTCCCAGGGTCATATGATCACCTTTTGCAACCTTCTGACAAGCAAGGTCAAGGGGGAAGCCAGATTCACTTAACAATCGTGTTATTAATTTAAAAATTGCAGTCAGTCACTTAATGACTATGGCAAGAAAGGCTGTAAAATAGGGCAAAACTCACTTAACAAGTGTCTCGCTTAGCCACAGAAACTTTGAGCTCAACTGTGTCAAAGACTATCTGTATCTCATCTTTCCTCAGTTGATCTGCAGCAAGCAATGCAAAAGATGGAGGGACTGTTGTCCAGTGACAACAGCGCACGGGTCTTTAAAATCCCTGCTTGCTGGTGCCAAGTTCTTTCCATTAGTAGTGGATTAGCAAGAAAGAAAAAATGTCTGATTTAGGAGAGGGAATCCCCCCCCCCAATGCTCTAGCAATTTTTCTGTTGCTCCCCTCTGGGATGTTTTGAAGTATTTATAGCAGGATTACCCAATTCTATAAGAGTTTTGTTCTCTATGCCATCTCTATGGTAAACTCGCAAGATTTGTTTTTCTCACGATGCACATGTACACATCCGAACTATACTGCTGTTTCTCTGTGCCATATAATATGTGTGGGTATATTCTTTCTTTCTTTCTTTCTTTCTTTCTTTCTTTCTTTCTTTCTTTCTTTCTTTCTTTCATAGTTTTGTCATGTTTATGTAGTGTATATTGGAGGTGGAGACCCTTTGAGAGCTGTATGCCAAAAAAATTCATTTTAATGTATGGTGATTAGTGTATATTCAAAGTGACAATAAAGCTTTTATTACATTCTATTATTCTAATAATTCTTAATTCCATTCCATTCCATTCCATTCCAGTGGTGACCCTTTGAGAGCTGTATGCCACGAAATTTCATTTTAATGTATGCCGTTTAATGGACATTTAAAGTGACAATAAAGTTATTTCTAAGTCTTAAGTCAGTTGCTGCTACTGTGGAGATGACCAGGCCGGGAAATCTCTATGCTCCTCGTCCCTTCCCTGCTGGGGTTATCCGGAGCAGGCCAAGCACGTTCGGGAAAGCTTTTGCAACCCCGCTTTCCCCTCCCGCCCTCCCAGGAACCTGGACCGGCCCATTCTGGAACGGCTGCAGTGCATGCTGGGTCACCGAACCTCCCCAGCCGACTCGAGGAGAACACGCGCTCCCGGAGAAGCATTTGCTCCCACGGGATGCCAGAATCTGGATGTTAGTCGCCACCCGCCCACAGACCAAGAGCCCTACCTACCCCGACTGCAACGAGCGGGGAGCTCTAAAACAAGAAGCCGCCCGGCAGCGATGCCAATCGGGACCTAAAAAGTGAACCTTCGGGCGCCCTCCTCCCCGGCGCTTCGGGAGCAGATCCCAACCCCGCTCGGTCCCTGCGCGCTACCTGGGCTGCTCCGCCAGCTCCTGCGCTCGCCGCTTTCGTCCATCTTGACTCCCATGTTCCCGGCCTAGAGCCGGCTCCTCGCCCCTAGGGCCGGCCCCGGGAGACCCGCCGCCTCTCGGCTGTTTCCGTCTCCCTCCTCCCTCTCTGCGCAGGCAAAAGCAAAGCAAAGCAAGAGGCGGGCCTTAGCCGGCGGCGGGGTTGCTATAGCCACCGTCGCTCGCTTCGCAGCCAGGCGGTCTTCAGGATCAGGAAAGGCGGAGAAAGGGCGGGGAAGATGGGTGGAAAAACCGACCTACTCCCGGGGCACATGGTCTCTGGGAGAAGCCCTCAAATCTTTCTCGCCCCGCGTGGCGTGACGACCTGGCCCGATAGAGAGCAGCCGAATTTCCCTTCCTTAATAGTCAGCAGCAGCGACAGAGGTCGGATTTGCGGTGTCTGGAGGACACCGGGTTGGAAGAAGCTGTCGAAAAAGAAGGAAGGTTAAAGAAAGGGAAGTGAGAAAAAGGATGAAAAGCTGCTGCTTCGACTTATTGTCTTATCCTATACTCGGGAATAAAGCCTTATGTCCTCCAATTACTATTACTATGAGTCTTCTCATCGTTCCTATCACCCATCTCCTCCCACTAATGACTACATGACTGTAACTTTGTTGCTTGTATCCTTATGATTTATATTGATATTGTTTCCTAGTATGATTTGATTGCTTATTTGTACCCTATGACTATCATTAAGTGTTGTACCTTTTGATTCTTGACAAATGTATCTTGTCTTTTTATGTACACTGAGAGCATATTCCTTGTGTGTCCTCACACTTGGCCAATAAAGAATTCTATTCTATTCTATTCTATTCTATTCTATTCTATTCTATTTCTATTTCTATTTCTATTTCTATTTCTATTTCTATTTCTGTTCTAATGGGTCATTTCTAAAATGGTTGTCTTAAATGTTGAGCATCATGTGTATAAAACCCCACTGAGCATAAGCAAGTTAATCTCGCAACAGTGCACGGGGCAAGCCAACTAATGGTGCTAATCAACCAAAGTCACAAAGCCGAGCTTGTTAATTTATGACTAATGCTTGCTCAGGAAGAGGCAGTTTATAGTTTTTTTTAAAAAAAAGCTGGACAGTATTTGTAAGGGCTATGCCTGCTGGATGAAAGGCATGAGGACAAAAAGGACACGTGTCTATGTGCACTTGTCTGGTGCAAGAGTCATTGGCTATAGTTGACATCGCTTTTAAGAAAACTTGCTTCAAATTGTACAAGAAAGCAGTGTTGTCTGATGCTGACGCAGATCACATTTGAATTCACATCACAGGTAAATCAAATCCAAAATCCTTTTCTGCACGATAAAAAATGAAAGTGTATACAGTGCAGTTTTGGATCTTAGACATCCCAATTTACTTGGAGCACTATTATGAAAGGACAGAAAGAGGTAGGATAATAAGATGTCAGTAATTTTTTTTTAATTTGCTAAGAAGTTACTCCCTCATATTCCATTCATTTCAGTACATTCATGGTGGGGTGGGAGGAGAGTTAGTTTTGATTGTGTTTCCAGCTACTATTGCTTAACACATTTTGGTAATATGGGAGACAGTATAGCAATGCCTGTTTGTACATGAACAGGCATTGCTATAGTGCATGTAATGTGGAAATGGAATGTAAGAGAAGTTTGTCCCAAATTAAATTAGGAATTCCAGCTTCAATGAATTTTAGCTTCAATGAAGTCTCTTTAAATGAACATTTTATTTGTAGGTGCAATTGTTTTCATCCCTGAAAGATCATAAGGTGCCTCTATTGTATTCATACAGTGACAAAGCAGGAATGTTAACAATTTTATATTATTTTTCTGCTTATATGAATGCTCCAGATACAGTGTAGCTTATAATAATAAAACAATGTAAAATATTAAATAAAACTTAAAATCTATTAAAATCCATATAATTAAAATATAAGTGTTAAAAACCTGGTAGAAAAATATATGTTGTGACGCTCATGATCTGTAAAGTTGAAATCTTAATGGAGCTCATCATTTATTTGCTTTGTTCATTCTATCCCTTTCTTCCATCATGGAACTCAAAGTAATTTTCAGAGAATCTCCTTTAGAAACACTGAGTATCATTGTATTATATGCTTTTAGATCATGCCTTCTTAAAATAATAGCATTGCCCAGCTCCATCCTGTTGTAGAAACTTAATTGGATGACTTTAGGCCAGTGATAACGAATCAGCCCAAGATTCTTCCTAGGGTTATTGGGGAGAAAAATTGGAAAGCTATTTCATGTATATCACTCGTTGCTTCCGAAGGAAAGGCAAATTAGTAATCAGATAAATAAATTCCAAATATGGTGGGTAGTAGAAAGAATTCTTCCCATTGATCTCAGTAAGGCAGCAAATACTCTTATCTTGACACGGTGTAAAATTTGATTTTCATCATAGATGTATCATGGGTGAGGAAGTTCTAGATGGCATGCATTTAAACTGTATGTAACCCTCACCATGTCCCCTCCCTATTTTTATCAATTCCCACTGGCAAAGTGAAGTTGGAGTTTTGTTGGAATAGTTTCATAACAATCAGGGAATCTTCAGGTTAGGATTCCTCTGCTGAGTAGCAGTTATGTCAACATTTGGCCTGAACAGCTACTTTGCATATAATGTAGAGGTAAAATAAATGAAGAATTCTATAGAATTCAGGTGGTTTTATTGGTTCTATAATTCTTATAATGGCTTTGTCTTACTGTTATTTTAATTTACTAAGAGCAAGTTCCAGAAATGTCAGAAAGTGATATGGTTGATTGACATTCCACAAATGAACAGAGGCCTAGTTTCAATCACACAGTGCATTTTTTAAAAGTCCTTGACTATTCCCTCGTTACTGGGCAACATATCTCTATTACCTCAGGAATGTACTAAGTTCTACTTCTTCCTTTCTGTCAATAGCCACTATTCATTAGAATTTCTCTTGTTCCAGAATTCTGGCCCACTCACACTTAACGCAGAATGACAGCAGCTTGAATAGCAGCTTCTTTAACTCCTTTCACTTATTTGACTCCTTTCAAAGTCAATGAATGCATGTATGGAATGGTTTTTAGATTAATCTTAGTTTACTTACGGAAGAAACGGAAAATTGAATATGTTATCCATGTTATTTGCTCAAAAGCAAGCTAATGAATTCATTATCTTACCTTGACTATTATACTGATATCTTTATTTTACAATAAATCACAACTGTATACTCTATTAATCTGCATTCCTACAAATAATACACAAAATCAAGGAAGCAAATTATTTACCACAAAATTGACTTAACTTTTCTAATATCTGGAGATAATTATAAATTATTTGGAAGAATCTATCTGATGTCCCAGAATCTGGAAGCTGAGTTAAAATGGCAGTAATTTATTATAGATCTCAGTGAGTGGAATGTAAAAACCTCTATTTGCCTCTGGATTTCCCATTGAAGTAGATCATTTTTCCATTTTCTTTTGCTAATTCCTATAAGCATATTAGAGTGGGGTTAAGGACATGAGAAATTTCTGTTATACTTTATTTCTATTTGAAATGCCAGGCATTAAATAACACCAGTGCTAATTAGCAGCATTATGAGACCCAATCAAGAAGCTGTGAGTTTGATTTTAGTTATCCAAGCCAAAAATTCTGAGTTTATGTCTTGTGCAATATGACTCCAGCCTTATGTTCCATATGCAAAAGCTTGTTTTTTAATTAACCATTAAGAAAATGTATGTCCCTAAAGAATGATTGCATGTTTTGAATGTTTCAAATCACAAAGTAATCGTCTGGATTTAAAAAAAAAATATAGGCCTTTGTGGCAGTACAAAATCAATAAATTTATGGTGTGATTCATTTGAATTCCCTTGAATTTAAGAATACATTCCTCTGATTTCTCATTGCAAGTGAACACAGTCTTAATTATAGCATGTTTTGATAAATCTAGATCTAAGCATTCTTCTCCAAAGATAAGGGGGGAACCTGTAAATACCAAGGTCAAAATGTATATGTACATACATTTTGTGATATTGTAGGTATTTTGGACATAGAAAAAGCAAAGGCTTGCTGAACCAGAGAGATTCCATGTTGGAATGGAATGTAACCTTTGTAGGCACGTAGTATTTTTATTTATTTATATTTCATATCTTTTAACCACCTATCTCCCTCAGAGAAGGGCTCAGTTGGTTGTCAGCCAGTCTGAATGCAAAAGAACAGAATTCCCATGGGCAAGAGTTTAGGCAACAACAGAAGTTCTGGTAACAGAGCAGTTCTCAACGAACAGAGTAGGTTAGAAGTTGCTCCTAAATAGTGTCCATGCTGATGAATCCAATCAAAGCTGGGAACACTCTTAGGGTTCAAGACATGCTGAATACCATTGTTCTGCTCCAGTGGTGAAATGTAAAATTCGTTACTACCAGTTCTGTGGGTGTGGCTTGGTGGTGGTGGGGTAATGTGACTGGGTGGGCGTGGCCAGGTTTTTTGTTTTTTTTACTTTTAAAACCATTTTTTCTACAACCTCTTCAGCCGAAGAAGTTGTAAAAAAATGCTTTTAAAAGGCTCTGACGATCAGGCAACTCAGCTGGGATCGTCAGAGGCTTTTAAAAGTAAAAAAAGTCTGACGATTAGGCAACTCAGCTGGGATCGTCAGAGGCTTTTAAAAGCATTTTTTCTACAACCTCTTCAGCCGAAGAGGTTGTAGAAAAAATGCTTTTAAAAGCCTCTTGATCCCAGCTGAGCCGCGCGATCATCAGAGCCTTTTTTTTTTACTTTTAAAAGTATTTTTTTGGCCAAAGAGGTTGTAGAAAAAATGCTTTTAAAAATAATTTTAAAAAAGCCTCTGATGATTGTGCGGCTCAGCTGGGCATGGGGGGGGGCAGGGATTTTTGCTACCAGTTCTCCGAACCACCCGCCACCATCGCTACCAGATCGGGTGATCCGGTCCGAACCGGGAGCATTTCACCCCTGCTCTGCTCGCTGTTGCACATGGCAGTCTCTGGGGCTGGGCAATCTTTCCAGCTCCAATTCCTTATCCTTTGAGAGTAGAGGCAACTGCTGTAGGTGGATCAGCCAGGTGGATCAACCTCAAGTTCTCAAAGTTTCGTTAGGCTGAGATCCAACGAGCTCTCCTAGAGCAGATCCCCTGTCTCAGGCTCATCTGAACGAGAGCAGGCCATGACCATTTGTTAGTCTGAAAAGGTGCTATCAGAATTCTTCTGATTTTTTTGCCAGACTAACAGGTCTCATAACAAAATAGCTAAGCTATGATTAACTATAGACTGTTGTTTTCTGTAGTGAATGTGTCCACTGGAGAAAAAGGAGCAGAGAAAAGAGGGAAAGC